CTTCTAAGGTTTCCCACCTAGTTACTATCTGTCCTGCCAGTCTTGGGCTCTGTTGTCTGACACTTCAAGTCCATAAACTTCAGCTTTCTTCTCCTCCGAGTACAAATAAGAATATACATTCACCCTTTAAATAAAAATAAGCATTTATACATAATTAAAAAACAAGTACTCCAATAAACACGTGAACACACATGTTCACAGCAACACTACTCACAACAGCCAAAAGGAAGAAATGGACCAAATATCCATCAATGAATACATGGATAAACAAATTGTGGTAGATACATACAATGGAATATTATTCAGCCACAAAAAAATGAAGTACTCATACGTGCTGCAGCATGAACGAACCTCCAAAATATTATGCTAAGTGAAAGAATCCAGACAAAAAGGTTACATGTTGTATGAAGTCATTTATATGCAATGTCTGGAACAGATAAACCCATAGAGACAGAATACAGACTGGCAGTTGCCTGTGACTAATGAGTAGGGAATAGTGAGAAACTGCTTAATGAGTACATAGTTATACTTTGTTGTTTGTTTCATTTTTTGAGATGGAGTTTCACTCTTCTTGCCCAGGCTGGAGTGCAATGGCATGTTCTCTGCTCACTGCAACCTCCACCTTCCGGGTTCAAGTGATTCTCCTGCGTCAGCCTCCTGAGTAGCTGGGATTACAGGCATGTGCCACCACACCTGGCTGATTTTGTATTTTTAGTAGAGAGGGAGTTTCCTCATGTTGGTCAGGCTGGTCTTGAACTCCCAACCTCAGGTGATTCACCTGCCTTGGCCTCCCAAAGTGCTGGGATTACAGGCCTGAGCCACCGTGCTTGGCCACAGAGTTTTACTTTGGAGTGATGGAAATGTTTTGGAACTAGATAGAGGTGGTAGTTTTACAACATCGTGAATGTACAATATGCCACTGATTTGTTAACTGCAAAATGGATTTCATATTGTGTGAATTTCATGTCAATACATTATCTTTAACTTTTATTTTATTTTATTTTAGTTAAACCAAACAACATACCCCAAAAAAGCACATGAACAGAACTTACTCCATGTTTGAAGGATAGATTTCTCTCTGGTCCTTACGTGTTTTGTGTCAGGCCTCATGAATTCACTCTTGCACATGCATAGTCTAGCCATCAAAGAGATTTACACAGAACTTCTATTTGGAATGTGAGTCTCACTCTTTCTATGATTACTTTGTTTCCAGAATTTCCCCTTTAAATTGCCAGCTGACCTTTTAGCACTGAAAAGTACCTTGAGCCAATAAGGCTGTTTTTCTACTGCTGCTTCTCTCAGCCACATCCATGGGAGTTAAGAAATGTCTTCAGATCAGAAAACTACAAACTCACAATTCTTACTCCATGCAGTTGCAGTTTTCTTTCTTCTGTCTGCTTTTGTAGTCTTTTCATGCCTTTAACAAGTTTTTAAAAATGTTTCATAACTGCTATCTATGAAAGAGTTCCTGTGACCACTTCGTTCCTCCATAATTACCAGAAGACTCTATATTTTAAAACTATATCAACATTATTGCAAGCGCTTCCTCATCATCAAACCCACAGTATCAGAAAAGTTTCCAAATAAAAAGAGAAGCTCCAACTCCACCAGGTACTTTTTATAGGTCAAATATTCTTTATGAACATCTCAGCTATTTTATTCCTCAGGATAGATAAAAATATCATCAAGGTTATTTGCAGTGTCAAATAACTGATTTTCCAGGCATTAGCTTTATTGAAATATAATTCACATACCATACAATTCACACATTTGAAGTGCACAGTTCAATGGTCTTTAGTGTACTCAGTTTTGCAACCATTACCATAATAAATTTTAGAAAATTTTTATCACCACAAGAAGAAACCATATACTTTTAGCTATGACCCTGTAACTCCCTCATTTCCCCAGACCTAGGCAGCCACTGAACTACTTTCCATCTCTATAGATTTGTGTATTCTTGACATTTCATATAAATTGAATCATATATGTGGTATTTTGAGACTCTGCTTAAGGTTTTCAAGGTTAGCATAATGTTTACATAATTTTTTCACTTCGCATAATGTTGTCAAGATTCAAGCATATGTATGTCACTTCATTCCCTTTTCTGGTTGAATCATATCCCATTGTATGAATGTATCACATTTTATTTATTCAATTGATGAACATTTAGGTTTCTAATTTTTGAATATTATAAATAATGCTGCTATGAACATTTCTATACAGGTTTTTGTGTGGATGAATGTTTTCATCTCTCTTGGGTATATACCTAGAAATGGGATTGGTGGGTCAAATGATAACTCTATATTTAGCTATTTGAGGATCAGCCAGATTTTTTCCAAAGCAGCTGTCTCATTTCATATTCATGAGTATATAAGAATTCTCATTTCTCAACATCCTAGACAGTTTAATTATTTTTTTTTATTCTAGCCATCCTAGCAGGTGTGAAGCAGTATCTCACTGTAATTTTGATTTGCATTTCACTGATAGCTAATAATGTTGATGTACTTATTGGACATTTCTGTACTTTCTTTAGAGAAATAGCTATTCAGATCCTGTACCCATTAAAAAATGGGTTATGAGTCTTTTTATTATTGACTTTTGAGTGTTCTTTACATAGTCTAGATACAAATCCCTTATCAGATATATGATTTGCAAATATTTTCTTTCATTCTATGGGCTGTCTTTTCAGTTTTTTTATAGCATCTTATAATGCATAAAAGTTTTTACATTTTCCTTTTTTTTTTTCAGACAGGGTCTCACTCTGTCACCCAGGCTGGAGGGTAGTGGCACAATCTCGGCTCACTGCAACCTCTGCCTCCTGGGCTTAAGGGATCCTCCCACTTCAGCCTCCTGAGTAGCTGGGACTATAGGCATGCACCATCACACCTATTTTTTTGTTTTTTGTAGAGACAGGGGTTTCCCTATGTTGCCCAGGCTGGTCTCAAATTCCTGGGCTCACATGACCCGCCTGCCTCAGCCTCCCAAAGTGCTGAAATTACAGGCATGAGTCACCAAACCTGGCAAGTTTTTACTTTTGATCAAGTCCAATTTATCTATTTTTTTTTTCCTTTTTTGCTAATGCATGTGATGCATATCTAAGAAACCATTGACAAATCCAAGGTCCCAAAACATACTCCTATGTTTTCTTCTAAGAGTTTCATAGTTCTGTTACGTTTGGGTCTTTGATCCATTTCAAGTTCATTTTTGTATACAGTGTAAGATAGATGTCCAACTTCATTCCTTTGCATGTAGATATCCAGTTGTCCCAGCACCATTTGTTGAAGAGATCATTCTTTCCTCATTGAATTGTTTTAGCATCCTTGTTGAAATCAATTGACTATAAAACTGAGGGTTTATTTCTGGATTCTCAATTCTATTCCATTTATCTGTATGTCTATCCATATGCCAGTATCACACTATCTTGATTATTGTTGCATTGTAGACAGTTTTGAAATCAAAAAGCATGAGCTCTCCAACTTTGTTCTTTTTCAACATTATTTCAGCAATTCTGTGTCCCTTGAGTTTCCATATGAATCTTAGGATCCAATTATCAATTTCTACAGAGAAGCCAGCAGGGATTCTGACAAGAATTGAGTTAAACCTACAGGTCAATTGGGGAAGTACTGCTATATTAATACTAGCAAGTCTTCTAATTCATGAATATAGGATATCTATTTATTTAGATCCTGCATAATTTCTTTCAATAATGCTTGGTGGTCTTAAGAATGTTTTGTACCTCTTTTGTTAAATGCATTCCTAAGTACTTTAATCTTTTTGAAGCTATCATTAAAAACTTGTTTTCATAATTTCAGGTTTGATTTGCTCATTGCTACTGTATAGAAATATAATTGATTTTTGTATATTAATCCTTATCCTCTAAGCTTGCTGAAGTTCATAGTTTCAACCTTTTTTTGTGAACTCCTTAGGATTTTCTATATTAAAAAATCATGCCATCTGCAAATACAGTTTTGTATCTTCCTTTACAATTTGGATGCCTTTTCATTGTCTTGTCTACATCCATGGCTAGAACTTCAGTAAAATGTTGGCTGGAATTAATAAGACTGGACATTCTTATCTTGTTCCTACCCTTAGGGAGAAATTTCAGTGGCTTCTTACCTTTGCTGTTTGCTCATATCATATGTAAACTGTGGGCTGATGCAGGCCAACCCAACAAGAGGCCAAGCCAAACCACATAACCAGCTTAAACGTCTATTTGTGGTATATGTCATAACTACTTACACTCTATTGGCCAAAGCATCACAGTCAAGCCCAAAATCAATTAAGGGGGGACTTGTCCTTTTCTCACAAGAGGCACAGCAGGTCACCAGGCAATGAACAGGGACATATAATACTCGTACAGGCAAGGTAAGAAATAAATAACTGTAAACAATACCATCATGAACCCTATTAAATCTATGGGTAATTTCCACTACCACTAAGAGTATTAGAAAATCAACTAAACAATAAATTCAATTAATAGGTTAGGTGTGGTGGCTCATGCCTGTAATAATCCATGCACTTTAGGAGGCCGAGGAAGGTGGACTGCTTGAGGCCAGGAGTTCGAGACCAGGCTGGCCATCATGGTGAAACCCCATTTCTACTAAAAATACAAAACTTAGCTGGGTATGGTGGCACATGCCTGTAATCCCAGCGACTCAGGAGGCTGAGGCAGGAGAATCACTTGAACCTGGGAAGCAGAGGTTGCAGTGAGCCAAGATCACACCACTGCATTCCACCCTGAGTGACAAGAGATTCCATCTCAAAAAATAATAAATAAATAAATTCAATTAATGATCTTAACAGAAACCACAATGAAACCAGCTATTTTTTTTTGTGACCAAGACCACTCTTCAGAAATTATCCAAGGTCACAGAGAAGGCAATATAAGAAAACGTATCAAAAACTTGATAATATGCTGCATGTGGTGGCTCATGCATACAGTCTCTATACTTTGGGAGGCCAAGGTAGGAGGATTGCTTAAGGTGAAGAGTTTGAGACCATTTCTATGATGAATCAAACTAGTTCACTATGACTGACAATGAAAATACATGAAAAGCTGAGAAACTGGAGAATACAGGAGGTGAGGGATTACCATGTCTAAGGAATCATTCTCCCATAGTTAAAAAAATTTTTTTAATTAAAAATTAAAATAAAAAGAGATTGCGACCAGCCTGAGCAATATAGAAAAATCTTGTCTCTACAAAATATTTTTAAATATATTTTTTAAAACTTGAAAATAAAGAAAAATGGCCAGGTGTGCTGACTCACATCTGTAATCTTAGCACTTTGGGAGGCCAAGGCAGTTCACCTGAGGTCAGGAGTTAGAGACCAGCCTGGTCAACATGGCGAAACCCTGTCTCTTCTAAAAATACAAAATATTAGCTGGGCATGGTGGCATGTGCCTGTAGTCCCAGCTTTTCAGGGGGCTGAGGCAGGAGAATCGCTTGAACTTGGGAGGTGCAGGCTGCAGTGAGCCGAGATTGCTGCATTCCAGCCTGGGCAACAGAGCAAAGACTCTGTCTGAAAAAAAAAAAAGAAGAAAAGAAAATAAGGAAGAATGATGATTGCATAACTTCTTATTATAGCTGTACTTTTTATTTCCTTTTTTGATAGAAAATGCATAGAAATTTATGGAGCACAAGTGTAATTTTGTTACATGCATTGATTGCATAGTGGTGATGTCAGGATGGCAAAACATTTTCTATTAGGCCTATCAGTCACCTCACTCTCTCAAGATTTGTAACTTCAACTAACTATTCATAATTATGGTCCAGGAGATTTTAGTCTTATAATGCTAGAAGTTAACTCGCAGAAAACTACTAAGATGTTTAGTTTTGGGGTGAAGTTTTGTTTAGAAAATAACCCAAAAAGTTTCAATTTACTGCACAATAAGACATTGGCCAAAATTGAATTTAACTTAGTAATGTTACTTTGGGGTTTTTTTTTCCCCCGACTACGTGAATCCCTGCTTTTCAAATACTCCTTGAATCAGCATTCTTCTGTAGCTGTTAGTTCTTTCATAAACAGGTAAAATGGAACTTTAACATGTGCTAACAGATGACTCTGCCTGAGATTTGTGTTTTTATAGGCGTCATAAAACCCTGAACCCCTCTGCCTCCAACCTCCCACCCATCTTCTGTGCTCCCATAGCACCCGGTACTTTTCCTATCAAAGCAGTATTCAAACTGCCTAGGAACTGCCTATTAATTTATCTCCCTCCCTTACCAGACTGTGAGCACCTTGACGGAGATCTTTCATTACTTGATTGTAGAGCCCCATGACCAAGTGCAGTGTCTCTCAAATCTTACATGATCAATCAATGTTTGAACAACAAATGCTTGTTCTGTCATTGTTTCAAGGTGATGACCAATAATTAAATGAATAAATGAATCCAGAAAACCTGGTGTCTAGAATGCAGGAGGAATTATCACAATAGACATAATAGTTAAGGAAAAAACATTTAGTTGGTGTTCACTTTTATGAAAGTCAATATATGAAATTTAAATTTAGGATACCAGAGTACACATTTTCCTCAAGCTTCTTTGTTTCATGAAATAATTCACTGGAGTTATATCCCCTTCCGTGTTTAAGTACCTCTTATTAACTAGCTGTCTGGGTTAGCTTCAGAATCTGCTGACAAATGACGATCAGAAGTGAAACTGTGAGTCAACAAGAAAACTATTTGATTTGTGCGTGTGCACCCAAGAGAGCTTTCCAGGAACGTGTTTATTGTGTGAAGTGAACCAGGAGTACTCACGTAGTAAAGTAGTTTTACTTACACAGTGTAAAGCTCTTTGACCTCTAAATGTTGTGGATAAAAAAAGACAGGGAGGGGAGAATAAATGCTGTTTCTATGCTTCATTGTAGCACCTAAAAGAATGTGTGCTATCTTACCTCCCTTTCAGCCTGTCCAGACCCACTCTCCTCATTTAAAACCAAGTGTTCTCCCATCCTTTTTCAAAAGAGGACATACTGTTAATAGTTAACTAGGCTACATGAATCAGAATTTTAACAAAACATCATTTGCCACTTTCATTTTAGCATAGGTCTCGCTAAGCCATTGCATGTGTTCTCCAAATATGGTGGTTAAATGGAAGCTGCATTAACTGAACTAGGGTTTAAAAGTGTCTTAAGAAAGCTTTCTGACTAAATATAAAAACAAATGACTTCTTACCTCAGTGATTGTAATGCCTGACAATGGCAGAAAGTGCATGTTGGACATCTATTTGTTAGTTTGACAAAGAATTAAGACTGTATTTAGGCCAAAAGGCAAAGTCAGAGTTCCCCCTGGACATATCCTGCAGGGAGCAATGAGATGTGGCCCTTGAAATATTCCTAATGACCATCTTTTAATATACTGATTCTAAAATGATTGGGAGAAGGATTACATGAAAGATCCCTCTGGCTGATGTCTTCTATTACACAAAATGTTCCTTTTTCAAAGGTTAGGATATCCTTGTTTCTAGGACACTCGACATCAATATTTCGTATCTGCCAACAGAACTGAAGGGTCAGAGACCCTGGGAAAATGTGTCATGTAAATGTAATGAATGTTATTTTAAAGAGAAAATGTATTTGAAAAATTAAAATTCAAATCTTTTGTTTTAACAGAGACAGTATCTCTGCTGTCCAGGCTAGAGCACAGTGGCACAATCATAGCTCACTGCAGCCTTGACTTCCTGGGCTCAAGCAATCCTCCCACCTCTGCCTCCCGAGTAGCTAGGACTACAGGCATGTGTCCACCATGTAAAGCTAATTTTTTTTTAATTTTTTGTAGAAACAGGGTCTTGCTATGTTGCCCAGGCTGATTTTGTACTCCTAGGCTCAAGGGATCCTTCCACCTCAGCCTCCCAAAGTGCTGGGATTAAGGTGTGAGTTACTGCATGCAGCCTAACTCCACTGTTTTTAAAAGTTGCTCTAAGCTGACATCCTTCCCAAAATAAGGACCTCTACCACCAAAATAGAAGAGTATTTCCTTCAGCTAAAACATATTCTGTCAAAAATAATTGCACCAACTTTGAAAAGAAAAAAAAAAATCTCTGCTACTTGTCCAGAGTTATAGAAAAGGACTGACACTCATTTATGATATAGAGATCAACCTGCAAATCCATTTACTCAGGCTCCCTAGTGAGGAAAGCATGTCTGATTAGCTTAATAACCATCTCTAATTTATCAATGAGCTGTATTCCAAAATTTACTTGTAAGTGAGCTGTTTGAATAGAACATATATTTCCATAAAAACAAAGGGTGGTTAGAGATTTTAGACCAGCTCCCAAAAGCCTATGACCTCAACCAGGAGACCACTAGTACTAGTCTGTATTCTGGATCCTAAGAGCAATAGGCTGCAGTACAAGAGAGAAGAGTAAAAAGATCTCCTTTCACAGAGCAATTTAGAAAGAAATTTCCCAAAAGGCCAGGCTGAGATGTGGCACCCTCTGTTCTGCTAATATTCCTCTCCCAATGTCTTTAATCTCTGTCCAACCCCTCAAGCCTACTACAACCTTGAATGTGTGTTGGGGAAGAGGAGTACAGTAGACTGAGCAGCAAGTATAGGAACTCGGCTATGATGGATTGTGTATAGACATGGACACCAACTCTAGATAAACTGAGATATGGAACAAGGGGTCCGTTTATGGAACTTGGATACACAGGTAGAGTTAGCCATAAGAGGCAGGAGAAAAATCCTACCACCAAAATATGCACCCAAACTTGAAGCTGTACCAGTAGTGAGGCTAATGCTGAGCTGCTGAAACACTTGTGTAGCATTTTTCACACTCCTCCAGCCCAGGGACAGGATTGAGTCCATGGTCTAAGTTTGGTGTTCAATTTAGAGGAGGTTAATGGTCTAGGTGAAATGAACTAAAGATCCATGAGGGTAATAAGTCGAGCAGGTAATAAAGATATGTATCTGATCAAAAAGATTTCTATTCATTTGGAGAAAATGACAAATTGGTCATTCTTTCAATAAATATTTATTGAATACCTACAACATGCCATGTACTACGTTAGAGGCTGGCATTACAGTCTCTGCTCTCATGCAGCTTGTATTCTAGATCAGTGTGGAAGAGTTCAGAGGGACCAAACAAATCCTCAATGAAGAGGAAAAAGAGGGAAAAACAGAACCGCTCCAAAGCCACTACTGCTTAGACTTTCAAACAAGCCATCCCATGTTTTGGAGGTAATTGTAAAGTATGACCTAGTCAACTATTCAAGAGTTGAACAGTTAAATATCATTTGGGACATATTTCACCTACACTGAAACTGAGGTAAACCAAGCAAATACAAAACCCAGAAGTTTAACTTCACAAATAAGACCAAGATAAAACCAACTGGGCTAGGTCCTTTCTGGCAACTTTCCCACCTCTCCTTTCACCTTCAAGGAACCATTTGGCTACTCACTGTGGCTCCCTTTCCAGGATTAGGCTTTATCCTTTTCACTGACTTTTGCCTATGTACATTTACCTGCCCAACCTCCCAAAGCTTTCCTAGGAATAGGAAATAAGAGCATGATGGGCTCAGAAATCATCCATATTTCAGTATTAGTGTGAGAATTTACTGCCCCCTCCCATAATACCTTACCTTAATGAATATGGAAATCTCCAGAAGTTTCTGTAAGGTGTTTATGAGAATTTCACATACCACAGCAAGGCAGTAGATGTTTTAGAGCTAAGATCTTTCAAGGCCCACTCAAACCACAATTGTCAACAACCTGCACCTCACATGTGTGTACAGAACCAGGACTAGAACCCATAACTTTTGAATAGTTCATATCCCAATAAGTTCTCAACCCCTAATTTTTAAAAACTAACATTTCTCAGACTCTACATAAAAATATGTGCCAAGCCCCATATAAACACTTTGTATAAATGCCATTTAATCCTCAGGACAACCTTACGAAATGGTTATTAGCCTCATTTTATAAATGAGAAAACTGAGGCACAATCCATTTAAAAGGCACAATCCACAATGCACGAAAAGAAAAAAAAAAAAAGAGAAGATGTGACAAACAGAAAATATCAGAATGTCAAATGCAAACATAACCATGTCGATAATTATGTTAAATGT